GCCAGCCTCCTCTCGGGGAAGGGGGGGGGTCGGGGGTGGACAGAACCCCCAACAGGGACACGTCGATTCATGAATGGTCCGTCTTCGGTTCTCGAGCGGGCGCCGTGGCCGCTATGTTCCAGGCCTGCGCCCGCCAGGTTTGGGCCTCAGGTCGTTTGCACTGAACCACGTTTTGCAAAAGGGGGGTCTGTCCATCCCCGAGGGGGCTCGCCAGCCAGCGGCGAACCTATACGCATCCGCGCCCATCGCGGTCTGGATCCTGGAGGCGCGAACCTGCGGACACGCGGTCGCGCGGCCGCACGGGGCTGGGCATCCGCGGATGCGTCCCGCAGGGGGGCAGCCGCGGAAAAGCCGCCCCATATCCGCGGGGTCGCGGCCCGGAGGCCCGGCCCGCGAGGCGGCGGGTACGGACACGTCTCTCTCGGGGGCGGCAAAGAGGGGGGTGATGACTACGGGGGGGTGGACATCATGGCGTGGGCCATGATAGTTCCCCAGATCTCTTGTCGCCTCTTCTCATTCCACTGCGTCCCTGGCCCCCCCGCCGGGCCGCGCACGTGCCGCCGGCCATGATTCGCACCCCCCCTCTTGGACGCCCCCCTCTTGGCCGCTCCCGATGTCTCGCCCACGGGGATCGGGGCGGTGCGGAGGAGGGGGCGGACGACGGAGGAGAGGCGGGAGGGGAAAAAGGCGAGGTCGGAGGAGGAGGAGGAGGTACCGATGCGGCTACCCTTCCCTCGACGTCACGGCGGGATTGGCCTCGGAATCTGGGTCAGAACGCACCACGGGAGAGGTCCGTGGAGTAGCGGTATCGGTACCTTCTCGTGTGCCCACGAGAGGGGCATGGGAGAGAAAGTCGCCAGGAGAGAGGTGGGAGGGAGAGGAAGGATTTGGGGGGAGGAGGAGGGCGAGGAGGGACAGGGATGATAGAAAGGAGTGGTGTGGAGAGAGGAAAGAGAGGACGGAGAGGAGCGGTGGGAGAGGAGGGGAGAAGGGTCGGAGAGGAGGGACGGCATGGGCGTGTGATAGAGAAGGAGAGTGGTGGAGGAGGATGTTGGAGGAGTGGAGGTGAGAGAGGGAGGGTAATGGTCAGGAGGGAAAACACACACACACAGACACAATGAATCCTCGATCCCCCAGAAAGTATGGGAACACATGGGAAGTGGGGGGGAAGACGAAAACCTAAACTGTGGAAACATGTGGGGACTCCTGTTGTTTGTGTGTATCTATTTGTGTGTCTCCCAGGGCCCCTTCAAATAGCCGAGGGGGGTGGGGCAGGTGAGGGGGTGAACAGGTGAGCAGGCGCGCACCCCGCGCCGCCGAGGCGGCAGGGTAGGGCTCGTGTTCGGGAGCTGCTCCTCCGATCTTTTGTTTGTTTCTGGCCTTGTGTGAGCTCGCTCGTGCCAGCCCGCGGTGCGCAGCCTACGGAGCCTGCAGAGGTGGTCCCCTGCATCCCACTCCTGTGGCTTTCCACTGGGACGCAGCCGACAGGACCGCGCCCCCGAGGGCGGGCGCGGGGGGGTCGCGGCCCACCGCGTGCGAGCCCAAGATGCGGGCAGGCGGAGGAGAGGAGGCAACCAACTGAAGAGCCGGAGAGGCACTGGAAGTGGGCCCCACGCTTCCCACACCTGTCGTTTGCCGTTTGAACGCGTCCAACAGGACCGCGCCCCCAATGGATACCAATGGAAAGCGACCGGGGAATAATAAAATGGGGTGCAGCCTCTTCGTCCGACTCCATGCGCCAAGCCTCGGCCACGGCCCCAGACTCAATCGCGGTGGGTGACGGCTTTGCTCCGCCATTACCTTGTGGCGCAGGCCGCAGCAAATTTGTTAGGTTCGTGAATTTCTATCGGGGCCCCATGGCGGAAAACACTGGAAGCAATCCCGCGAGCTTCTGCCGCCGGCGTGCCGATCGCAATCAAGTCGTCGCGAAGGCCAGCCACAAACTTGCTTCAGTACCGGGCGGGCACGCAGCTTCGTCCGGGTCGCCGCGGCCGGCAAGCAGCCCGGACGCCCACATGTGCACGCAAATCATTGTTTTTTGCAGACACATGTGGTTTCGAGCGTGGACTGCGATTACAAGTACCCTTTACGCCTGATGGGGCCGAAACGCATTGTGCCCCACGTTCAGAAGATATGGTTTCAGTTGCCCCAGAAGCTCGTGTGGGGTGCGGAGCAAGAACGCATATGCCATCACGTCGCCCATGCCACGCAAAAAATTCCCCGGTGCGGCCGCACAAAAAGTTGCCGAAATGGTATGATTTTGAGCTGGTACGTGGCCCGGGAGGCGCTGGAGATTGCAGCTTGCGCGCGTTAGACGTAATATCAGCTAAAACAGGGGAGTGTTCAACGGGCGCGGGATAGCCTGCCACATGGTGGAACTTGCGCCACCCAGACAGCATTGTTTTGAACGTACCCTCGCAACGGCAGGTTCAAGAGCTCGCAGAAAGCGTTCGCCGTCCATGCGGTCGACAAGTACTTGCTTGGCGAACGCCCTACAGAAGCCCGAAGTTCCTTAATCAGGAGTGCGCCCACATTGACATGGATGTCGACACCTTTCTGCTGGGCCGAGCGTAGCATGTCGAGCTGCTCGCGAGGAGGAGCGTTCACACTCATCCTCCGCCGCCTGCCGGGGGCAGCCCCGATGAAATCGCGCGTCGCGTCGGGCGCAAGTTGTTCCAACGAGATCGACTCTTGAATTAGCCTACTGGGCAGCGAAGGCGCACTTCGACCTCTGAGGGTATTACACAGTTTCGCACAGAGCCCTGCCCCTCGCGGGCCACCATGACAGGACTTTGAGCCTTCAGCCTTGAACGAGGTCGACGATTCTAACCGTTTTCAGAACGTCACTGTCGACGCACCCCTTCGCCAGCAGCAGCCATGGCCTCAGCTCGTCAGGACGAGGTGCGGCAGACGCCCCCCGCGTGAATTCACCAGGAGGAGCGGGCCGCTCGCCCTCCAGAGATGCCCAGCCCGCTGCGTCAACAGAGGACCAGGCTTAAGTCGGGCCTGTCCCTCTACAGGAGGAATATTCAAAGCTAGTCAAAAAATAATATGGGAACGATTGTTTGGTTTTTTATATCACGACCATGTGGGGGTATGTTTGGAGTGTTTCCTTTTTTTCGTCGACAATCCCCCTGTAGGGGGACGCGCCCGACTTAGGGCCAGGCGCGGGAAGGCAGGCACTCCCAGGACACCATAAAAGGCCGGCCCTGCACGGGAAAGGAGTGCGACTCCAGATGGGGGACTGGTGCGCGCCAGCTGCCCGCCGACTGGAGCGCAAGTGGCGGGGTCTGGAGGCTTGCAGCCTTGGATCGTTTCGCCTCGCGAATGGCCGCGGAAGCAGACGCCGCGCGCTGCTGGAAGTTGGCAGGGGCGGCGTCGCGAGCGCGCATTCTGCGCCATCGTGTGCGCAGGGCCTGATTGAGAGCCCGGCTCCAGAATATCCAGGGCAACGTTGACTGGAATGCGGCTCTGGGGCACTCGGTCGATCCAGTTGGAGCCCAGGGCCCCGCGGCCAATCTCTTGACAAGCTGGCGTCATGTGAAACTGCGCAACGCCAGCCCGCATCGCACCCATGCAAGTGCAAGTGCACGACGGCCCTGCGATCGCGAGAAGTGCTACAGGCAGGAACGCAGAACAAGAGTGACCATTGCGACGATTATGAATTCGCTGCCGAGATCGATTGGCAGTTGGACGCCTGGCCCCAGAAGAGGTGGACAAGGTGAGATGGCGAACGCAACGCCGGGCATCGAACCGCCCCCCCAGTGGAAGTGGAAGCGACTCGCACCCCGCGGCCGCGGCGACGGGAAACCATCCAACAACGAGAATCCCAGCGCCATCCGACGACCCCGCCGCGACGCCCAGCCTGCTGCGGCGGCGTGGGCAATCCCGGCGAACGGCACTTCTTTGGACCCCCAAAGGGAAACAGGGCAAGAGGGGAGAGTCGGAGGCAAGAAGCAAGAGGGCAGGAGAGGGCGCGATGGAGTGGCAGCAAGGGGCGGGCAGCAGCCGGCGGCAGCAGACCTCCCCAACAGGTGCCTTTGCTTAACGGGTTGTTCGGTGCCGCATCGCCGGTCACGAGGTGGCGACGAGGCCCCGTCTCACCGCGCCATCGTTATGGCCGGGCCCTGGGGCCATTTCCGATCCGCGCTGCGGGCGGCGCCCGGGCCCCCCGAACACGGCGAGAGAGGGGGGCGAGAAGGATGACTGAGGCGGACGGCGATGACAGCGAGGGCAAAGACGACGACGATGTCGTTGTAGAAGCTCGGAGACATGAAGATGTCGAGTAATAGTCGCGCTGCTGGCGCCAGGCCGCTGCTCGGTGCTGGTCGCGCAGGCGGCCTCGCCCGCGGCGTAGCGGCGGAATGAAGATTGGGGGCGGCGCAGGCCGCGCCTCGACAGGGAGCGGCGGGGGCGCGGAAGACGGGGGCGCCTGCCCTGCCCTGCGACGACCCGGGGGCGCCCGGAGGCCCCTCCGCGGCAGGGCGACGGGGGCGGCGCAAGCTTTGCCTTGGAACCGGGCGCGGGATCCGCGAACAGACTTGCCCCGCAGGGGCGACCGCCTGCGCGGGCGATCGCCGCCCAGCGGGCGGAGGCCCGAAGCGCCACCGCGTCGGCGCGGCTGCGGGCTCCCGGCGCGAGCCGCGTGCCAGAGCAGGCTCGGCGATGCTTGAGCGCTTGGGGGGGGCCCTGGAAACGAGAGCTTGCACTGTGGATCCGGTGCCGCTCGAGATTTGGCTGATGTTGCCAGTGGACGCGCCAATGACAAAGTAGGTAACGGCTATGCAAGCTCCCGCATTCTAGGTGGGACTGGCTCGTGGCCAAGTCAATTGTAGGACATCGTGGTTCGTACTTTCCAACAATTCTCTGCGTCGTTGTCGCTCGATGCATTCGCACGTTTGAGATGGAGGATAGCGTGGTCCGTGAGGTCCTACAATTTGTTCTGCGCGAGTTCGGTGTCACAAAAACCATGTTCCCAACGTCGCCGTCAACCGACATCG